CACTTAACATCGAGTCACGACCACGACCTGTTTCTCTACAGGAAAGTGTTTTTAGATTACAGTCAAAAATCTGTAAAACAACTATAAAATACCCAAAACCTTAATGAATCATTACAAACAGCCTCTCTACCACAGGAAGTCGCGCAGCATACATTCAGCTTGGTTGGTGTACTCTACATCAGCACTCTCATTACGGTCGCTCTAACCCTCAGTCATCTGGAGCCAATCAGGGATCAGTAATGAGCCATGCCGAGTCTCTGATTGGTCGTGTTTCCAGAGGAAGACTGCATCAAACTTTCCAGAGACAAAGTGACCACAAGTACATCACAGTCCTGCTCCAACTGAGCCTTCAGAACTGTTCAGTCATTTAAAGGAGCAGTATGTAACTCTGACCCCTAGTGTTTAAAATGGGTACTGCAGTCTAAATTCTAAACATCATAGAGAGCTGTCTCCCCCCCCCCTCACTCAGGTCACCATGTGGTGGACTCTGAAGCTTCAGTGTTTATCCAGCTCTGCATGGGTCTGTAAACCTTTCTGTGTTCTAACCTCTCTCCATTTTTCAAAAGCATCTCCAATATTGATCCTAGTTTGAGCACGTTTCTGCTCGTGGAGCTTATTAGAAACATGCAGAGGCTTTTTAGGTCGGGTACAATCACTTCTATCTGAACCACTTCTCTTGCCCGCTTCCATCACTGCAACACCTGTTGACCTGATAACTGCTCTCATATCTGACAAACCGAGGGGCGTCCAAAACGGCCGTGTGGGGGGGGGTCTTAAAAGCGCCTACCTTCTCTGGTCCAAACAAATCCAGAGCATTCAGGAGCAGAATGTAAAGTTAGAAGGAGGACATACTGGCTGCTGCATTGTTGTCAGAGAAGCCAGCACTTCAACATAGCATGTTTCCTTAATGATCAGAGAGTAAGATACCTTTATCATCTCACTCTCTACACATCTCACTGACTGGACCTTTAAGAACTGATGAGTGCAGCTCAGCTCCTCAGCAACCTCCAATCAGCCTGAATGAGTCCCACACTTTGACTGTAATCATGCCTTTATCAGAGTTTTCCATGAGTTTACTTTCCCAGCAGAATACTTTCTTATTGTTTCAAGTCATGCCACTGTCTTTTATCAGCGTGTTAAATTACTGGATGAAGAATTATAGTCTGGCAGCTGGCAGCTGGCAGCTTGGCGTGCAGCCTCCCGAATCCCTCTGCAGACGGATAGAGGACTCTTCTTCATCAGGTGTTTTAATCATCTCGTCTGTTTGTTTTTGGAGCAGAGAGCGTCTGGCTGTCAACGGTAGGTGTGTCTGGTTGTTTGTCTCTATATGTCAGCTCTGTGATTGGCTGGCGACATGTTCGGTGTGTGCTGCCCCCGTCGCCCCCATGACGGCTGGGATCAGCTCCAACGTCTACCTTCTTCTTCATGGGTTTCCTGCAGGTCACATGATGCATCATGTATATGCACAGGTGATTCATTAGCCCGCTTGGTGAAGACCAATACACAGGGGGGAAACAGCATGTGTGTATATATGCTGATAATAATGCAACCATTGGGGCGCTGGTGGTGCAGTGGTGCAGTGGTGCAGTGGTTAGTGCGCGCGCCCCATGTATGGAGGCTGTAGTCCCAGGTTTGAATCCCACCTGTGGCTCCTTTCCCTACTCTCTCTCCCTACTCTCTCTCCCCCTGATTTCTGACTCTATCCACTGTCCTGTCTCTCCATAAAAGTCACAAAAAGCCCAAAAATAAATCTTTAAAAAATAATAATAATAATGCAACCATTTCCTGTCCAACAACAAACAACTTCCTGTTTGAATGGAACAGCCTTGTTTAGTGATACACTGAGCGCTGCTCCTTCCCAACACGTGTCACTCGGTATAAAACAACAGAATAAAGATATAATAAGCTGGAATGAAAAGAGCAAACACTGACAGAGTAAAGGCTGTCAGAACAAACGGGCTCACATCGCTGTCAACACGGTGGATTCACTGTCTTCATGTCCATGTCACAGCTGAAGTAGGTCAGACCTGGACCCCCCGCTGCAGTGAGGCCTGTGTGAGTTATATTATCAATCAGACGTCAGGAGCGATAGTCTGCCCTACTTCTGCCCTACTTCAGCATCCACGACCTTATTTACTTCCTGCTGCTCCGTACAACACCGCTGTAACAGACGCTATTTCTGGAAGAAACTACTTACATGTGTTATGAATATGTTATCGTTATCGCTTTCTTCTTTGGAGCTCTCAAAACCTTTGTTTATGGTTTACAGGTTCAATAAAGTTTTATTGTTTAAGTTTGATGAACAGAAGTCCAACTGGGGATTCTGACTTCACTGTTTACATGGACGCTTGGGGTGCAAACGAGTACTCGTTCATTAAATAATAATCGGTGACAAAAAAAAGGTAATCGATCATCCTTTTGTAGTCCACATTTTTGTAAATGTTTTCTTGTTGCATTGTGTGGCCTAATTCAAAACAGAAAAAAAGGAGCACACTCAAACTTCAGGTGCACGAGTGCAAAAAGAAAATAGATGACAAACAAAGCGTTGATAAAGGCTCTGTGCTGAAACGCGTCCGTTGTTGATCCGTACGCTGCTACCCTGACAAAAATATCCCTTTAATTTACCCCCCTATGAATTCACAATGAACTAAAAGTCACAAACAGACGAAATATGCAAAATGATCTACGAGAGTTCAGTTCAAATTGTCTTTTTAGTCCACAGAAAAAGAAAGACTTTCACTTCAGTGATTACCGCTTTACTCCGTCAAACCAAAGACGTTTGATCATCCAGGACAGAGCAGCATAACACGATGTGTTCCTATATTTTGGATTATTCTTTTAATAACTACAAAAAGGAACAACCTTAAAGGGAGAAATAGCTCATAGCAGACAGACAAGCGAGATTGAGCGAGTACGTCATTACGCACAGAGGACACAAATGAAACATAAAACCACTGTGACACGTTCAGAGCTTCCTGTCCGTCTAATCTGTCAGAAACAGCAGAAGAAGAATCCGTCACTTCCTGTTAACATGAATAAAAATGAATAAATAATAATAATAATAATAAAGTTTTTCTCTGGAGTGAGAGTCATTACTAAGAACTAGAGGCCTGTTGTGTGTTTTCTCCTCTGTTATTTTCTTCCTAATATATTTTTCAATAAACATGTGTAGATCGAGTCCGTCGACAGAACGACATGCGGGAAAGGAGCCACAGGCTGGTCTCGAACCTGGGCTCAAACTTGATTCATCCACCAGTTAGCTTTACAGCTTTTCCCATTCCGGGTCGCTGGGGGCTCGAATGCTAAATTTCATTTCATTGAAGTCTTTCTATGTGATGTTTCACACTTAAATATAAATCAAGTCTATCCTCTGAAAATAACTCTGTGAGTCATGACTGTCTACAATGGGTGTAACACCCGAGTCCCACTGTCTGTGATGTTTTCAGAGTTTTCAGAGTCCTATCTTCACTTTGTTTACATCGCCGGGACGGCCGGCTGACTCCTCCCCTCGTGTATAAAAGTTGTTTAATTGAGGGACTAGAGAAAAGAAGAATAACATACTGTACTCACTGCTTAACTGTGTTTCTAGATCACGCTCATTTCAGGTAAATTTACATGCAGTGTGAAGATACCAGCAGAATAAAGATACGACTGTTATTCGTTCATAAGAATATACTCGTCCTCTGCTCGGACAGTAAGTGTTTGAAAAGTGTCTGCTCGGGTTACAAGGTCACATTTTTCCTGACTGTTAGTAAACTGTAAAACTCCACAGGTTCTTCCCGCAGTCCTTTACGTGGGATATGTATACGGTAGACAAATGTTTTCCTGACATATCCGCCGCCAGCACCGAGGGGCCACGCGGCCTCGGGCGGGGATCTCAAACCGGTAATGATCCTTCTGCAGGTTCACCTACGGAAACCTTGTTACGACTTTTACTTCCTCTAGATAGTCAAGTTTGATCGTCTTCTCGGCACTCCGCCAGGGCCGTGACCGACTCCGGCGGGCCGATCCGAGGACCTCACTAAACCATCCAAGTAAAAGGTTAAGTAACATATAAAATAATTGTTAAGTAGTAAAATGTTCGCTTTTCAGACCCGCTCGCATTCAAGTCCGCAGCTGTAGAAGGGAGAGGCCGCCGCAGTGATGGCGGCTTCTGGTTTTCCCTGGATCGGTCAATATCTTGTGGACACACAACTTCACTTTTTAGGACTTCCAGAGCTCTGTAGATGTCAACAATACAACACTAAAGTTACACAACGACTATTGATGCTCTGACTCAGCCTGCAGGGTGGAGCTCATCCTTTACACCTGAGCCAGACTTCATGTTGAACTATGAAGACTCAGGTCATGACTGTTAAATAACTCAACAAAACCTCAGAGAAACAGGCTGAACCAGGGACTTACACCAGCTAATAATCAGGTGCTGCAACTGCTTCCAGCCGTCAGCGTCGACTTACTAAATATGGCAGATAGCCAACACAGATTAATTCATTTAATTAATAATAATTCAATAAAATAATAAAATAATAAATAATAAAATAATAAATAATAAAATAATAAATAATAAAATAAAATAAAAATAAAATAAAAATAAAATAATAATAATAAATAAATAATAATAATAAAATAAAATAATAAATAAATAATAATAATGTCGTAAGAGTCCCAATAAATACAAATATCTGCTTTAAAGAGAGAGAAACACTGACGGGAAAGTCTGTTGTCATGACGTCACAGAGCGATAGCAGCAGGCTAACGTCAGAGTTAGCATTGATGCTAACAGGTTTAAAAACTCGATATTAATGTGTTTCCATCGATTTAACCTCACGAGTCATCGCCTCGTTCACAGGTGTTGTCTGTAAACACAAACACAAAGCTAACACACACAGGTAAACACAGCTGGGATGCTAACACGGCACACACACACACACACACACACAACACACACACACACACACACACACAACACACACACACACACATCACACACACACACTCACAGTAGTAAGCGACGACCGGGTCCCGTTTCTCGTGTTCCTGAGCCGTCCTCAGGTGGTGCTGGAGGGACTTGAGCTGAGGCGGGAGAGCCATTGTCTGTCCGGGAGACAAAAGTTCAGCAGCAGAAAGAAGCTCCTTGTTGTTGTTAGCAAGTGTCTGCTTCACTTCCGCGTCTGTATCCAATGGGAGCGGCAGCCTCCGCGGGACAGATGACGTCACTGCTGCCACTCCTGGTTTAATGACAGCTTCTTTGTAATGTTTGTAATATAGATTATTACACATTAGAGTATATTTATTTATATGTGACGTGTACATTTTCTATTTTATTATGAGGGACAAAAAATGACTGAAGTATAAATAAATTAATAGATAAATAAATGTTTGGAGAAATGCATACAATAATGTATAAATAAATAAATAATTAAATAAATGCATCAATAAATATATAAATGCTGAAAATAATACATCAGTGAATAAATAATAAATACATTTTGTTAATGAAAAAGACTATTTATATATTTTTACATGGATTTATTCATTTATTAGCGTATTTCTACAGTTAATTATGTATCAATGAATACATTTCCACATTAATTGAGTTATTAATTTATTTCCGTATTTTTACATTTACACATCTATTTTTTTTGTGTCCAGGTCGTCAGAGGAAAAGTATTTATGTAAATTTGCTTCTGTCTGTTTTTCAGAATTGACCAATCCTACTTCAGTAATGTTAGGACGGCCCACTTAATTTACATATTTACTTTTCCTTGTACAACATGGACACAGAAATACATAAATAAATATATGAATATATTTATCTATATATTTATTTATATATTTATTTATTTATGCATTATTCATTTATTTATTTATTTATTCATTTATTTATTTATACTTTAGTCATTATTTGTCCCTCATATTTTATTACATCCTTCAATGTTTTTCAATTCAAATTCAAATTCAAAAAACTTTATTTGTCCCCGGGGGGCAATTCAAAGGCACACAGAGCAATAAATTAACAACAGTGCAGGTAGACGACACATTTTAAACATTTAAACATTTTAAAACTAAAATATAAAGTGTCAATTTAAATACAACTTAAAGCTTAAACTTAATTTAAAATACAAAATATAAAAAGAGTAGATATAAGTGGACAGTGATCGGACTAACAGATGTCTTTACTTTGGATACTTTACTTTTTTTTTTAAATAGGCTACTTTACAAAGTCCCTACAGACTTAGCTTCTGTCCTTAATGTGTTAGCAACAAGAGTCTGGACTCCATGTGGGGGGATTCATTCTGTCGACGCTCAGAAAAGACATTCTCCAAACCCATAACCCTGCCCCGAGAATGGAGCGAGAAAGATCGAGTACACCAAAGCCCTTCCAGAGAGGGGGCGTGGTCAGACACAGCTCATTTACATATTTAAAGGTACAGACACAGAAACAGCCTGTTCTGAGCAGGGCTGAAATAGAGGGGTTTATAGACATGATCAAATACAGGATCAGAGTGGATTTAGAACAAGAAACTTCACACACATGTTTTGAGGAGCTCTGACACTTATTTGATCTGGATGAAGAAGAGGAGGAGGATATGTGACATTTAAAATCAACCCTCAGCTTGACTGGTAGCCAGTGTAAGGAGGCGAGAATTGGAGTGATGTGACATTTTTTGTTTTGACTGTTCTGATGAAAATCTGCATTTAAACATGTTTTTCACCATCAAATCTTTTCAAACCTGCGTTTCAATCGTTGATATTTAACATGAGACCACACACACTCTTTATGATGTGATGGTTTCCTTAACTTTAGATCCTACTATAGGCTGAGATGCATTGTGAAGATTGTTTGTACACAGCCTTTTTCAGCGGTGGGTAAGCGAAGGAGTGAGGAGGAATGAGATTGAACGTTGCACATTCAGAGGTCCCAGAGAGAACCCAGAATCCACAGCAGAGTGTGATAAACACACACACACACACACACACACTCACACAAAGGTGGGCTTATCTTCTGCTAACACCTGCACACGGACAGTCACTTTGTGTGAATTAATTCAGCGTATCACTAAACGTCCAGGTTTCCTTCACGGCTCCAACACTATGGGAGAGGACACGCTCTCATCCTGTAAGAATATACCAACAAAAAGCTGTCGATGTCTGTAGTTTAGAAACGAGGCGGATTCTGTTTCCTGTTCCAGTTTGAATCCATTAAAAAAAACATCTGAAAACTGTCAGCGCTGCTTTTTCCTCCGGATGATAATGAGTTGAAAGCACTTATTGAAAGGTAACAGGGGACACAGAGCTGCTGTAGGTGGAGGCTCTAACAGCCCGGGGCCAGTGTTTGTCTCGGAGGAGCTTTTAGGTGACTAACACCTGGTCGGAATCAAACCACACATTGCACCTGTTGGATACTCCGGTGGTCTGACGAAGATAAAGGACGCTCACAGTAAACTATGATTCATGACAAACTTGTATTATTTTTTTAATTCCCGCCCCTGTGCCGGGAGGTTGGAGGATTAAAGTCGCCATCTGGAGCAGTTTGATTCTGGCACTTTGAGAAGCACACACACGGACTCCGAGAATTCACCGTGATTGGCACAGATGATTTGTTGTTTTTCTGTCACAGATGGCGAGGAGAGTCTCCTTAAAGCACGAGGAGGAACAAAATATGTTCATGAAGATTTAAAAAAAGTAACTTTTCATCGCGTACAGTTCAAGAAAATTCAAACTCGGAAGAAAGAAAAGAGAGTTTTCAGATGTTTTTAAAGGAGATCGTTTATACTCACTTTCACCATTAAAGGTCCAATCAGTGAGATCTGAAATGATAAAGGTATCTTACTCTCTGATCATTAAGGAAACATGCTATGTTGAAGTGCTGGCTTCTCTGACAACAATGCAGCAGCCAGTATGTCCTCCTTCTAACTTTAGATTCTGCTCCTGAATGCTCTGGATTTGTTTGGACCAGAGAAGGTAGGCGCTTTTAAGACACCCCCCACACGGCCGTTTTGGACGCCCCTCGGTTTGTCAGATATGAGAGCAGTTATCAGGTCAACAGGTGTTGCAGCGATGGAAGCGGTCAAGAGAAGTGGTTCAGATAGAAGTGATTGTACCCGACCTAAAAAGCCTCTGCATGTTTCTAATAAGCTCCACGAGCAGAAACGTGCTCAAACTAGGATCAATATTGGAGATGCTTTTGAAAAATGGAGAGAGGTTAGAACACAGAAAGGTTTACAGACCCATGCAGAGCTGGATAAACACTGAAGCTTCAGAGTCCACCACATGGTGACCTGAGTGAAGAAAACGTGCAGCCAGCTGGAAACGTCCAAAATATTTGTCTTGCCTCTGACAAAGCAAACGGCCAATCATTGTCTTGGTATTTGGGGTGGTACCTCGGCTGGTCAATCAGATTTCAAGGGTGGGCTCATGCCCCTCCCCCAAGCCACACCTCTGGACACGCCCCCTGTCCTATTGTATCAGCTTTAAACAGCCGCATAACCTGTTTTTTTTTTTTTTTGAAGAGATTATCTTTGTTCCATTTTTATTTGTCATCTCTGATGTTTCTCAAACTTTTTCGAGCTCATTCATTTTTCTTTCTCTTGTCTCTCTCCGTGTTTATTGTGAAAGCGACGACCGGAAAAAGCCTCGAGTTCATTCTGTCTCACTTGACTCTGCTCTCTGTCCCCCGCGAGGACCTACAAACTGGCATGAGTTTAGGATCCGTGAGTGGAAAAAAGAGGGGGGAATGAACAACACGCCGCCTGGATTACGGTTGGTGTGTGGACTTCCATTTTCTTTCACTTTGTCCGGGTTTTGACTCTTGGGGAGTTTGAAAGTTTTTCTTTCTGTCGCTGGGACTGTGTTTGAGACAACAGCAGCTCCGTCAATGCACTTCCAGAAGTATTTGCAGTGCAGGGTGTGTTGTCATCTCTCTTTGTTTTTATTTTTCCTCTTTAACTTTTCATTGTGTTAAAGTTCTTCTTTTATCAGATCTCTAACCGGGCTGAGTGAAAGCTTTGTGTCTGCAGGAGAAGGAATGACACGTTTAGACGATTATGTATTTGAATTTTAAACTGAGCAGAGACGACGGACTTTCTGAACAAAGCGTCAAATCTTCGGGATAAATTGCAAAAAAAATGGATGAAAAAATGTTCAGTTGAGCTCCTTTTTCCAAGCTGGGTGCTTTGTATTTTGTTGCATGTTTGCCATCTCTGTCTCTGCATTGTGTGTGACAGGAGGTTGTGTTTTTTCGCTGACATAGTTCTATAGGGATTATAATACAGGGACCACATGCCCTCCCCGGGGCATTGTTGGCCCCTCTGTCTCTGTTGTGCTTTTTTCTACTGAGCGAGTCAATTGATGGAGGGATAAAGGGTGAAAAAAAAATATGCATTGACACGGGCTTTCAGGGCAGGGAGAGAGAGAGAGGGAGAGGGGTCAGTCGGAGAGTTTTTAGCCCTACTGTTGGTGGCCTTTGACTGGCAGCATCCAAACCGGCCATGAAGGCCCAGATCAGCCCCGGAGCTAAACCGACGGGCCAACCATGTCTTTAAACTACATCAAAAACTTCTATGAAGGATGCGTAAGTAGATCTTAGTTGCTGATGTTTATTTCATTCAGGAACTTTTTTTTTTTATCTCTGAAGATTTGACAGCAGCGATGTTAAACAATTCTCCCTCAGGAGGCTTAACATGTAAAGACATTGATCCTCTCCTCTTATTTCTGTGTCTGTGTTGCATGGAGACATTATTTTCTGAGTGTGTCATTAAGGCCTTTTCCTGTCAGGAGAGGTGACGGGAGGCGATGGGAAATGTTTCCTCTGAATGGGTTTTGTGTTAGCACTCAGAGCTCAGGGCCTCGGTGTTGCAGCTGCATTTATCTGGCTGACAAAAGCTATTTTCTCTTTGTCTCTCACTGTGTGTGTGTGTCTGTGCGCGCACATCTGTGTGTCTCATGTTGGTGCCATGAAAACCTGAATGCTTGGTGTTCGCTTCATGCCTTACTCTCTCTTTTTGGCTGCTTATCTGTGGATATTATATAACATCTGTATAAGTGTACATGAGTGTCTACATCTTCTCCTTTCTGTCTCCGTGCTGACATAGGTATCATTGCATAATGAGGCCTGTTGCTAACTGCCTGCTTACCTGTGCGTCTCTGTGCATCTGTGTGTGTGTGTGTGTGTGTGTGTGTGT